AAATATTACTTCAAAGGCAAAGTAAACTCAGCATTACAACTTTGCAGATTCAAATATTTTAGGGCATTCTTGATCACAAATACTTGACCAAAATGTAATTTGAAAAACGAAACTGACGAAATGACGGACGAAATCGTCCCAAAAATGATAAAAATCCACCAAGGGGTATTCCCCTCTCTGGTCTAAAAAATGGTTCCTTATGGTCGACGCACTGCACAATTTCAATGATCTGGCCAGTGACCAATCTGTCGGATTTTCTTAATCGCATTACATAGTGTTTCTGCCTGCTAATCAGTGTCTGCTAATATATGTCACCTCATGTGTTATAAGTAACAACATTGAAGATGCCTTAAGTTGTCTCCTTAGGGGATTAACCCCTGAAAGGTTTTCATTGTACAAGGGGAATACGACCGAAGGCAGCAGGCGGTTTACTGTACCGAAAACATGATGTTAGTCATAAAACGTTAATTACCTATAACTGTTATAAATGTATGCAATGTTGTTAAATTGTGGGATTAACAGAAATAGCAGCAACAGTATAAATATATAGCCGCTAAGAATCACAAGATGTATGAGCCCTGCAAACATATCAGCAAATGAAAACATTTGTCATACACCTGCGCTGGTGGCTTTAGACCACGCCCCCATGTAGGTCTGTTTTTGGAAGCCAATTACACAGCGTGTTATTTCAGCACTTTTATTTGACCACTTATATACTTTCTACAAATATTATGATTTTCTCTCTCTCGGAAATTGACTAAATCTATCTTGGAAAATTTATATTCACAACAAAATCGCAATCATTTTTTAAGTTTTCTTGACCTTTAAATATATATCCTCCCTCGTTGGGCCGTCATACGGTCCCAGTTAGGCATGCCTGTAGTGCTATAAGCTGCACGTATACTTTCTTTAGTGGAATTGTTAGAGTTTGTCACTGTGAAGTCCATCCACTGTCGACCAATTAATGTCAACAGCATGGAGACAATGCAGTCAATCAGCTGCAGGTGTTTTTTTTCTAAACGGAAGCTGATGTACTTCAACTATGATAGACTGCCTCTCTGGTCTATTAGAATAACTTCTGCCCGTAGAAGGGAAGATCCGGGGTTCGATTACCGGCCACGTCATTCGTTAAAAGATGGTACATGTACTTGTCGTGATCATGCATGACCCTCGGCATTTGATGACCAGTCACACACACACACACACACACACACACACACACACACACACACACACATAAATGTGCTAAGCAGTAAATGAAATATCTAGAACTAAGTTGCATACCCTAAAGTGGGTTTCTCGACGTGAAAGGAATTCAAGTTTGCAAAGTTTCCTTTTCATTAAATGTCTGCAACGGACAAAATGAAAAGAACTCCTAAGGAACAATATTTTATTAATATATGCAATCCTGCATTATATAGATTATTATCATATACTTAAGTGTACAGCTTTCTAAAGTTTAGAAAAGTAATCCTTTGCTGGAACGACCGGTAACGAAATTTCCCGCCTGTCCGCCTGTCGTATGCGGCAGTTGTCGGGCTTCGGAACACTTCAGTACATTTCTGTGTTGACAGTGAACATATTTTACTGGATAACAGTTCTCATACATTATTTGTTTGAAACTCTTCCGATTTTGACAGTTATTGTTCAAATGCATTGCTTAGCAATCTATTTTTTTTCATCATGCCCGTCAGGTGTTATCTGATTTGTATCTACAACTGCTGATGTGAATAAACCTGTTTTGCAATAAAAATACGAATGTAGATGATATGCCATTTTTTATAACTAGATATATCTTAATTGCCTTGCAAGTAACAAAGGAGGATAAGTGAACATACGGATAGGTGGATTGGTTTTGCTCGGTATCCACCAAACGAGAGTACAGTGATTTCATAAATGAATGAAGTGGTCAGGTTCGGTGACAAGGATACTGCCTAACTGCCAGGCTATTTCCAACTAAAATGTCCAGCTGCTACGGTGTTAACCATTATGTTCTCGTGTGACGCTATTCACAACACGAATGTCCCGCTGTCAGGCTGTACACAAACATGATGTCCCACTGCAAGGGTGTTAATTATTGTGTCCTGATGTCGAGCTGATCACCTCTATATTGTCCAGGTGATAGAATGTCAACCATCATGTACTATGTCAGGTTAACAACCACTCTGTCCCACTGTCAGGTTAACAACCACTCTGTCCCACTGTCAGGTTAACAACCACTCTGACCCACTGTCAGGTTAACAACCACTCTGTCCCACTGTCAGGTTAACAACCACTCTGTCCCACTGTCAGGTTAACAACCACTCTGTCCCACTGTCAGGTTAACAACCACTCTGACCCACTGTCAGGTTAACAACCACTCTGTCCCACTATCAGGTTAACAACCACTCTGTCCCACTGTCAGGTTAACAACCACTCTGACCCACTGTCAGGTTAACAACCACTCTGTCCCACTGTCAGGTTAACAACCACTCAGACCCACTGTCAGGTTAACAACCACTCTGTCCCACTGTCAGGTTACCAACCACTCTGTCCCACTGTCAGGTTACCAACCACTCTGTCCCACTGTCAGGTTAACAACCACTCTGTCCCACTGTCAGGTTAACAACCACTCAGACCCACTGTCAGGTTAACAACCACTCTGTCCCACTGTCAGGTTACCAACCACTCTGTCCCACTGTCAGGTTAACAACCACTCTGTCCCACTGTCAGGTTAACAACCACTCTGTCCCACTGTCAGGTTAACAACCACTCTGTCCCACTATCAGGTTACCAACCACTCTGTCCCACTGTCAGGTTAACAACTATAATGTACTGATGTCAGGATGTTATGAACCATAATTTCCGTCTGCCAGGCTGTTAACGGCCATACTGTCCAGTTGCCAGGCAGTTAACAGCCAATATGTCCGGCTGTCAAGCTGTCAAATTGCTAACAATTACAATGTTCAGTTGCTGGGCTTAAGTGCACGGCTTCGAATAAACATGGTTTTTAGTCCAAAGTTTGACAGTCTTACTGCCTTACACCGGAGTAGTAAGGGTGACTTAGCGAATAACACTAGAACTGTCCTCACCCACCAGTTCTGATAACTTACTTCCTTAAGCCGAAGTCGTAAAGATAACTTGGCTAATAACTTACAGGATCGGGTACATGTCATCGTATCCCAATTGCGTCGATCGATGCTCATGATGTCAATCACTGCATTGTCTGGCCCATGTATTATTAAAGACACACATTTTTTTTCTCAAAGACAAATGCAGAGAGAGAAAAGCCGATGTGACTTTAAATATTAACTCACGCACTCACTCAGAGAGAGAAAAGAAATATGAATTGAACGGTGTAGTGAAGGAAATATTATTCACTGCGGTATTAATGGTTATTGATTGACACTGATACGCAGTTACTGATTGTTAGAAGCTTGATCGGAACCGTTGCAAGAATTTCGTCTTGGCTGAAGAACGTGTACTTATCACCATGGACATATGACGATAATGTGAATGGTAAAATAACTCCTCACGGTGAAAAACAAAACAATAGACCCAATACCTTACATGGGAGTTGGTTGCATATTCACAACTGTGACAAGGAGCGTGCGAAAACTGTTTCATTAGAACCCTCCCTTCTGGTGGGCATGGCAGGAAACAACGAGCTAAACAATACTGGAATTTTAAGAACTTTCTTGTCCTGCAATGTAATTGAATAATCTCAATATGGATCATATACCTAGGATGGACTGGTCTAGTGCGCGAATGAGTTAAATTTAAGAGTGACGGTGGCAATTAATTGGCTTTACCTCCTAACTGGGGATCATTGGTAATTATATCACCAGTTGTCTGTACCTTCTGCTAGCCAATACAAAAAAACACAAAACAAATTCTTAAACACAAGTTGATATTATATACGATGGTCAAGAATGGACTTATGTGCCACTGGCAGGACGATTATACTGTTAAACTACTTTAATCCAAATTTCATCATCATTGATAATCACAGTTGGAGATAAAATCATGCTTTACTTAATACACATATCAAATTATTCAAAATATATGTTATAATGCTATATATTTCTGGCATTAGTAAAAAGAACCTTTAAAGATGTTGAATGATCACAGATGACAATTCTACATATGCTTGACTGCTTCTCTCATCACAAGGCATACTGTGGGAGGATCCTCAATTACAAACCCACCGCCACAACAAAGGACCATTCACTTTTCTAAAAGCGCTTAATTGAGTCTGCAGGGCAGCCATAATGGATAAAGTGACCAAATGAGTTTTCAGTTTCAGTTTAGGTGGGCATAAGAAGTACTTGAAATTGCATGTCTAAATTGCAAGTTCTAACGTTGGGAATTTAAAATTTTTTAAAACTAAAATAAATTCAAAAGATGAAATAACGGGAATTGGAACAATCTGTGTAAAAAGAGGGTGCAGTGTGACTACGTGACATCTCGTCACACTAGTCAATATGAGCAAGATGCTCACTGGTGGTGATTATCACAAATCAACAGCTAAAAACACATATTCGATCGCGAAATATACAATGTATATATTCAGTTTTATTTGTTGTTAAACTCTGTATTTAGCAATATTCCAACTACATGACGGTGGCCTGTAAAAATCAAATATGGACCAGACAACCTAGTGTTGATGTTATGGCCAACGTCCCACTTCGCGACGGGTATGCTGTCAACCAATCCTGGCCACCAGATTTATTTTGTCACACGTGCGACAATCTGTAACCTATTCTAAGCTTGGCTCAGTTTATTTAATTTCCTCAATTATGCTTTGACGTTTGTCTTCCCATCCTGTAGTTCCTGAAGAAACGCCACTTTAGAAGATGAAGAGAGGACATGCTTGACTGTACATACATAGTGAGTGGCGTTACAAACAAAGAATGATTAGAGTATCATTATTCTTATTCAATATCTTGTGTCTGAAACCGATGTAAAGTATTTCTATAGACGAGTCTCTGTTACCATAACACAACAAGCCGTCAATTGAAGATGTTGGTCCTCCGTGCTCTCGTTTGTGGAGTCCTCTACACCAGTGTTACAAGACTGCAGAACATATATGTACAAAGTGAGTACTTTCAATGTTTCAGAATATTTCATTATTATGGCATGGCCTGGTTGCCCCGTACGCCGTCGGTACACTCGGTATATTCTGTACCTGTACATTACTGCGGGCAGTGAGGGAGTAGTGATATTGCCTGAATTCACTGCAACGTGCCTCCAACTGAGCACATAGTTCGCACAACATGACACAAGACGTTGAGAAAAAAACTTTATTAAAAGTTAACAGACTTTTGGTATACACGACTTCCGCGACTTAAAGTAATGTGATTGTCTTAAACTGTGAACCAGTTAAGACAGGGAGTCAAAGAGATGGTGACAAGACACCATATGAATTTCTTCGAATGCTGGGTCCAGATGACCTTTGGCATCAGATTGAGCAGATTATGTTGGCGGCCATAAACATCTCATCGTCAGGCACAACTGGTCCACGGAAACTGCAACTTTATGTCCTTTCTACACCATTAACAGGTGTACAGGTGATGCGACTAGTGATGATTCAGTTGTTGAGGCAAATGCTATTTTGTTTTGGACCTTTGAACTTTCACCATGGACCATGGAGTAATGCTCTCAAAGTTGACATATAAAATTGCATGTGAAAGTTGAAGTGTTTATTTTCTTTCATAACATTTCTGACCTAAAAAATCAAATATCAAAATGAAACTTTACGCGAATGATCATTGGCAACCTTGGTGCCATTGGCGACTCCATCAATCACCTGGACGTCATACCCTGTGCATGAAAAACTGTCACTTAAGATATATTATATGAAACAATTTTTTATGATGAATTATGATAACTCATCTTATGAAAATCTAAATCTTGCCTGGAGTCCTATGCCCGAAGGTGGTGGCTCAAGGTTCAATCTGGTAATGTCAACCTCTGAATTATATACGTCTCCATTGTTCTGTCATAGGCCGTGTTGTTTTTCCCTGAGTATACCACCCCTGTAGCCCACCCCTTTCGATGGCGGGCGGGGATCAGGGGTGCCAAATTCTATTCTCATACCATGTCTCAAAACCAAAATTCTGGTTCATTGAAAACAAATAAACGTCGTCATGTGGACTCTTTGTCATCTGATGAAGATATTTCTCAGGATGTTGCTAATTCTTGACCAAGGTTTATGGCAATACTTTCTTCAGATGGAAACCCTCTGAAACTTATAATATTTACTGCAAAATTAACACCTCAGTAATTCAAAGATATTGAAGATCCCATGAAATTGTTTTCCCACCAGCTCAATCAAATAGCTGATCAAACACTTCCTCTGCAAATCCCCATATTCGTAAACCATAGTTTACTTAAGACTGCAAACTGGCACGTAAATGTACGAAGAAAGCGGAAAAATATTTCCGCCGACATCCTAATTTTTTTTTACTTAGATCATATAAAAATTACAAATGCAAAAGCATGGCATGCTTGTAAACAAAGTAAACATCAATGTTTGAGGAAGTATATTTCCAAAATAAATTCCCGCACTCCTATGTGCAAGGTATGGAACATGATACAAAAAATCAGAGGCAAAGGATCAAAGTCCTCTTAATAACTGATAAACCAGACATTGCCAATAAACTTGGAGAAACTTTGGCAAAACATTCGTCATCCTCAAATTATGTCCCTGAATTTAAAGCATATCAGAAGCAACAGGAGAAAAAAAATATTGATTTTAATTCTGATAATGGGGAAGACTATAACGAAGTATTTTCTTTACATGAGCGGCATACGGCCCTTGGGCAAGCGGGTGCTGATGATATTCACTATCAGCTCCCTAAGCATTTGCCTCAACCATGTCTCGAAACATGGTTAAATATGGGCTTCAGGGAATTTTCCTGCTTCGTGGTATGATGCCATTGTAGTCCCTATACCAAAACCTGGTCAAGATCATATAGATCCATCCTACTACCACCCTATATCTTTAACCAGCTGTGTCTGTAAAACCATGGAGCATATGGCAAATAATAGGCTAGTTGGATATTTGGAACCAATAATCTAATTACAAATATTCAAAGTGGTTTCCGTAAAAATCGAAGTACTATCGCAATTTTTAGTACGTTTAGAATCCTTTGTTAAAAATGCTATTGTAAGCAAACATGTAGTGTCTGTTTTTTCCATCTTGAGAAAGCCTATGATACTACTTAGAAGCATGTCATTCTGAAGAATTAACATGATTTTGGTTTGAGAGGCCGTTTGCCTCATTTAATGTCAGTTTTTAACAGACAGGCAATTCCAAATCCGAGTGGGTTCAACCCTGTCTGACCATTATAATAAGGATCAGCGTGTCCCACAAGGCAGTTTTTTTTTTCACTGTTACATTATCTAGTATCAAAATTAACAATCCGTCAAAAGTTTTAAATGATCCAGCAGATGGCATTAACATGAAAAATGATGGATAATTACTAGGTAGCAAGTTCGTCCTGTGAGGACAACTGCTTGAACAGCAACGAGTCAAGCATCAATCTGATGACGAAGCTAGAATGTACCAACTTTACTGTGAAACCGTAGGTACCAACGGAACACGAAGGTTGACAGGTTTGGTGGTGGCAGCGATAATTCCCTACTCTTGCATTACAAACTAGCAAAGTTTGGCTGATATTGGTGTCGGTGGAAAGTTTTTGTCTATTATCACATCAATGTACGATAAACTGTGTGCCTGTGTTAGAACACCTACTTGGTTATCCAAATACTTTAAGTGTAATATAGGTACCCGTCAAGGATGCATCCTCGGCACTCAGATGTTTTTAATATTCATAAATAAACTTGTAAATTTTATGGAAAATTATGGAGGACAAACCGTCTTTATTACTAAAGACTGCCCAGCAATATATGCACTTATGTTTGCTGATGACGTGTCATCTATTGCTTATACACCTTTTAATTTACAAAAGAAGATCAATGCCTCGGAACATTTTGGCAATACCAGAGGCATGAAGGTAAACTCGAAGAAAAAGTTATGGTATTCAGAAATGGCGGACCCCTTAGACATTATGAAAAATGGAAATTTAATAGTGTATATATTGAAACAGTGTCGTTTTATAGATATTTGGGTATTGTGTTCACGCCTTAACTTGTTTGGACTAAGGCAGTTAATACTCTTGCTGCCCAGAGTAACAAGGCCATTATGACATTATATAGATATCAAAAGAAAGTTGGTAATATACCCTGTCAAGATTTATTTAAGATATTTGATGCTATGATTGTGCCTATTGTCTGTTACGGTGCAGAAATATGGGGCATCTCATATTGTAAAATTATTGAAGGTGTACAGAATAAAATGTGTAAATGGTTTCTTAATACAGGTAAACAACAAACAATGCAATGGTTTTAGGAGAGTGCGAAAGAGCCCCTCTCCAACTTGTGTATGCCACAAGGGCCATCAAGTATTGGTGCAGACTACTGCGTTTGGACGAGCACAGACTGCCTCACCAATGTTATTTAATGCTCAAATCACTGGACCATTCTGGTCGCACCACATAGGCTACTCACATTAAGAATATTTTGTTTAAATTAGGTTTTGGATATGTATGGTTAACACAAGATGTTGGCAATGTGAAAATATTTATTCATCTATTAAAGCAAAGATTATTTGATAACCTTCAACAATGGTGTAGTTCTATCAATAGTATATCTGATACCGTTTATTATAAACAGTTTACATCCCTGTTAAATGTAGAAAAATATCTTACACTCCCCATACCAGTACATCTGAGAATATGTATGACTCGTTTCAGATGTAGCAAGTTTAAACTTGCAATTGACTTGGGGAGATACACAAATGTCCCATACACTGAACGATTATGTACATATTGTATAGAAAATGGTATATCTTTTACTGAAGATGAATTTCATCTTTTACTTGTATGTGAGCGTTATTCAGCCCTAAGAAATATGTATCTTAAACAGTATATAAAGTTTCAAACTGTAACATCTTTTCCTGAAATTATTTTATCAGAAAACTTTGATGTTGTATATAACACATGTTTATATCTATATGAAGTCCAACGGCTAAGAGAAACCTAAATCGACTACCTCCTTGGCATGCGTAGTTCATGCAATCAACAATTGTCTGTAGTATGGGCCTATGGCCTTCTTACTGAATAAACTGTCTGTCTGTCTGTCAAACTAGCGCAAGTGAAAGGCAACAGGACGACCCTTAATAATGAGATGATAGCCTACATTCGCATTAAGATCCATACTAATGTAATCTTTTAACAGAAAAATTCAAGATAAAAAACAGCACATGCAACAGCAACATCCCTTTAAAACGAAAATATACAGGTCCACCCGTGATACTCCAAATCGCTATGTTTGTAATATCTTGTGCTTTGTCCACTGTCACGTGTCATTGTGTCATCACTCATCAAATATTCAGATGTGCAGTAAATGCGTGTCAAATCCCATACTGCATGAACAATGCATGCCGTCATAATTGATTATTTTCATCAATAAGTTGATATTCCAACTCTGTTGTAAAAGGCGACAAAATTAGGCAACCCGTTTGCGGTGGGTTGTGCCCCTGTGTCGGTGGAGGAAGAGACTGTGGTAGTTGAGCGCACTTGTTCCAGGATCTGTGTTCCTTTGCTCAACTCTCTTCTCTGACCCTAACTTCACCTTGACGGGTGGTAGAATGGGTTGGGATCTATTCATTGGCTGTTCACGTGCATAGCAAATATGTTTTATTGTTTAGTCTTATGGCCGGCTAATGGGCCAATCTGGTGGTGTTGTTGACCTCTGTATTCGGTACAACTCCACTTTCTTGTCATGGACTGAGCCAGCCTTTCAATACATACCAGACTTTTTGGTATAGCTGAAGGATCAAGCAGTGACAGCTGTAAAACGTTTTACAAAAAGTGACAATACCATCTATAGCTTATGTTTGTGACCTATGACAATTCCTCGTCGTAGTTAAGCTGGAAATGTTAACATCAGAGTGAAGGTGTATGTCCCAAATCCTCTATGATGTTATACTTGTCAACAGTTTATCCACGGTTCCCGGGTTGATACAAAATAGGAACGTTATATTTACTGCTGAAACCAAGGCTATTCAAACAGCCTTGGAATATATTAGGAAACAAAATGCATGTAAAAGCATTTACTGTGAAGTTATCTCACCATTATATATCTCCTTACCATTGCTTCCCAATACAGTATTAATATCTGGGAATGCTATTGTGTTTGTTCGGTAGATGAACGGCCTTAAATAGGTTATCCCTTCTTGGGCCACCATACGTTACAAGTTAGGTTTGCCAAAAAGTCTATACACTGTCTTTTATTTGTTTATTTGAGTGTGTCACTGTGTCGACCTTCCAATGTTGGTGATTTACTGTTCTGTTATGGACCTTTTAACTGGGTGCTGCCTGTGATGGTTGCCTGTCTCAGGCCACCGTCTGTCTGCTGTCTCTGCTTACCACCTCTGCACTAAGGAGGTAGCAGGTCTCTGACCTTTTGACCTGGGCGCTCCGAGTTCGCCTCGTGGAGGACGTAAACGTGATTATGAGTGGGCTAAAGTCCCATACTATCTATCTCGGTCCTGGACATTGACCACACATTCGTCTGGCCTTGTTATGACCACATGTTTATACCTCCTTGCTGTTGGGTCAACATCTCTGCTTGAACCAACAAGGTAATTTACCTGTTTACTTAGTCCAGCATGTGTGACTGTGTAGACTGACCCTCAGCTAGACGAGTTATGCAACAGATTCAAGTTCAGCTCACCGAACATGCCAAAACGAACTGAGCTTGCCAGAAAACGTTCAAGCTGTCTATATTCTCTTAGAGAATTTTGCAGAATTGTATGGAACTCTTTAAGTTTGTCACTGAGCTGGGAAACTATGCAGACAGTTGTATTGGAGTCAAACAAAAATCTTCACTTATATAATAGATGTTAAAGACTCAATACAAGTATACTTGTACATACAACCCTTGGGAGTCTGATGGGAAGCAGCGTAATGTCAAGGTCACTGTGTACACGATGACGTGGATATTTACCTCTTGAACTTGATGATAATCTGTACACTGATATCCATTGAGGGTTCTCGGTCAACATTTGGGAGACCTCTCTTGATACTGAACATGACTCGAATTTCGAGACATTTCCGATTCATTTGAAGAGTTATGGCAAACTCAACTATCAAAGTACATGTCATATGTCAAATACACCACTGAGGTCTGCAACTAGAATATTCTAGGATATGATTAGCTGACCTTAAGGGTCAAGATTGGCCTGATGTGCATGATGCTTTCTGGATTGCTCTTCTACAGGCCACTGTTGGATGGCAGGACTACTGCCGGGCGGCGTCAGGCAATAAATACTTTCTTTTTATGCCTACTGTATGAATAGCGGGTGCTACGGTTAGGACAGGACATGCTCTCCCTTTTCGCGAACACCTGGCGTCAATGGTTCTCAGTTGTCCATTCAGATCATTTTCGTAGCTATATTACCCTTTGCGTCAAAAGAAATCTGTTTCGGAGGATAATCAAATCTGGTTATTCTCTTGGTTTATCTTTTATATTTAAGGAGGTAACTAGACATACAGGAAATTAATGCTAAATATGTGCTGCATATACCTTTGTTTTGAAGGTAGTTCGAGGAATCAGCTAGGTTCTTGTTTTCACCTTACCTGTGTTATAGCAAGTAGCAACCTGTGCGTTAGGTATCTGTTTCACATATTGTTGGCATTTAAGCTGAAAAATGTGGGGTTCACGTCCTTAAACACTGAATTTTTTTCCCACCACACATGCACTCTTTACAACAAAGATGATTAGTCTCTACATATTTTCCTTGCAGGTGAAAATATTTCAAATGGGAAATATGCAAAACAGAGTGGTACCTTTTTTAACTATGTTGCTAGTCGGGCTTTAAATAAATCATATGTGTCATCTGGATCAGTAACAAAACGTGCCAGCCCGTCCTGGTGGGAGGTCGACCTGAGGGGCTACTTCACCATCAGCAGCATCACCCTCACAGCATCAACCTACGAGAGATGGAGTAAGTTCATACAACACGTCACTTTTGTTTCATTGAGCAATAATGTGTAAACATATATAAAAAAGGTTGCACACCATATATCCCACGAATTGTTTTATATCAGTTCCAGGGCAATTCAATAATCAAAATCAATTGTATAGGATGTCACTAGTCATAGTTTTCAAGATTTACGCACTCTCGGTTATCTGAACACTTTCCATACAGTGTTGTTAATGGGAACAGTGCATCACAACACTTGTTTTACATTGAAGAAACAACAGATTTACCTAGCTGCAGGCAGGTCATGAATAACCTGACCATACAGTAAGCAACAAGGGATCTTATGTTTGACACGTGCACTGGGATATTCCTTTGTTTACAGATCTACACATGAGAAATGCCTTCGTGGAGGTGATGGACAAAGATGTCAGCCTCTGTTCTGATGTCCAGGTGGTGTTGTGTGGGAATGTGTCTAGCTCTGTCACTGCTGGGGAAGAGTTCACCTTCACCTGCAATGCCACATTCCCTGTCCGCTTTGTCCGTGTCACAAGGCCATCTACCACCAATGTTTACCTCGTTATCGGACATGTGGATGTTCAAGGGGAGGGGGCTAAGAAGCCATATCGTGAGTAAACCATTGATTCACCGTTGGCTTCACAAAAGTCAGATCGGTTCAAAGTCATAATCCCCTATATATAATATAATCCTGTGTATAAGCACAGTTAGATTGAGTGAGTTGAAATGTTTTAGCTCTGTATCTGGTTTAAGACAGGCCCAATTCTATCACTACTAGTCGTAAGAGGCGACTAAATGGATCGGGTCGTCAGTCGCGAAGACTTTGCTGATTGCATGTCACCGTACCCGTTGTCGTGGGACGTTCGTCATAACAGAAGTCACTGATTTGCCTTCCTGACTATCAATTAACTATCTTTTCTAGGTTCCTACTACAAACCGTTGAAGAACAAGAAGGTGTCTCAGCCGTTCCTTACCACGTCAGCCATGACAGCCGGAGACTGTGGCATCATTTGTCACCGATATAATTCATGCATCGACTTCAGCTACAGTGCAGTGTCGCTGACCGATGAGAACTGTCTGCTAACTGACAAAGTGTTGTCTTCATCTGAAGACAATTCTTGGACAACCTACACTATTTCCTGTATGTGAACTCTCAACTAATAGATAGCAAGCTTCTCTCACACTTTATCACAACTATAACAAGCTTCAATTTAAGATTATTATATTGTAAGTTGTCTAATATTTCTCCAACTTTGAAAGAGTTTCCATCAAATATCATGTTTGGCGTCATGGGTCTCTGGGATCATTTTGTTCTCATAAACGTTTGTGATTAATTGGATTAACTCGGTGACTTGTTGATTTCGTTTTATTGTACAATGACGGTTTTGTTTTTCTCGTCATGATTTGATTGTTTTCACACTGACATCATATTGCTTGACAGCGAGCATGCACGTACTCTTGTTTCTTTAATTCACTATTCGATATGTATTATATTACCCTTTAAGGTAGCAAAATCAAAAGTAATAACTTTCCCATCTTTTAGCAACTTGCAATGCTGATTGATGAGTTGACGCGAAATGACGTCACATTGTATCATTGGGCATTTGAGGTCACCCATTGCATTCGACGTCACCTTATGCAATCAGACCATACGCTAACTCGGATTTGAAGTTAGTCATAAATATCTCGCCTCACCCAATGATGATAATGACAAACTCTTTGGACCAAACATTCAGGTTGGTAGGTCGAAATATGACAAAAATGTAAAGCCCACCATATTTATTTCCTAGAAAGTAAGCAGGTAGGGAAAAGAGTTGGAATAGTTTAATATTACCTCCCTGTCTGGTATACAGTATGACAAACATGTGCCCGCGTTCACAAACAATTGATTTCATGACTGGCTTTGTGCTAAAATATATACACTGAGTACCTCCTGGCATATATCAACAATAAATGTTGTGCGATCGACCAGTCTGTCGCACTTTTACTAGTTGGCGTTTACCAACCAATGAACAAAGTAAAAGTGAGTGAGTTGGGTTTAAGGCCACTTTTTACACTATTCAAGTTTTGTCATAGCGTGTTAGCTTAATGTGGGAGGAAAGCCCCAATCGATGCAGGTCTTCGTTTACCACTTACTGACAAACCAAGATACATAATCGGGGTGAATATCAAATGTTCGATCACTTATAGTGTAGAATAATAATTATATTCTATATATTGAAACACTTTGACCACTAAAATGAATGTATTTTTTATTTTGTCCATATGAGTAGTTATACAATTTGAGCAGTTATCACATCAAAGGTACTGTTTCTTTACCGTAATCGCTTTGTAATGGCAACAAGCATTTATTATTATTTACACATTAAAGTAACTTTTCTCTTGATCTGACACCAAGGATACTAAACACTGTGATTTTCAATATTGATTTTTCCAACAAACTAGATATACTAAGAGAGAATTATTTGCAATGAAGCGGAATTTTAAACAAGTGAATCATATCATGGCTTGTTAAATATATTTATACTGTCTGTATCAAAGGGATATTCCTAATTTCTATCCGTCATATAATTTTTTTTAAAAACTACAGAAATGTTTTTTGGTAGGAAGAATGTTGAACATTGTGTTTTTGCAAGAAAATGGACAATTTTGAATGTTGACTTTGAACAAGAACGTGAATGTTAACAATATATTCCATTGTATCTCACATGGAATCCTAATGACACACTCTATGAGTCTCTGTATATGTTTTGTATATGATTTGTATCTACACCTGCTGATGTGAATAAATTGTTTTTCTATAACACCATGAAAGCATTTTATTTTCTGTTTCTTATGACAAAATGCCATGGGTTAACCTGGACCAAATTATTTCTGGACCTGTTGACAACAATACTGCCTTACTGACAGGCTGTTCAAGCTGTAATGGCCAGCTGCAACAGTGTTAACCATTATGTACTGGTGTGAGGCTATTCACAACATAAATGTCAGGTTGACAACTATAATGTGCTGAAGGCAGGTTGTTATGAACCATACATTCCGGGTGCCAGTCTGATAACAACAATACTGTCCCGTTGTCAGGCAGTAGACAACCAATATGTCCCGCTGTCAAGACTACAATGTTCAGCTGTTGGGCTAAAGCGCACGATTCCGAATTAACATACAGGTAATTATGTTCTAAATATGTCTCACTGTCAGTATGTAAGAACAACAATGTTCCTGTCAGGCTTTATTTTAGAAACATTCAGCCAGAAAATATTTGCTTCCTCTTCCAGCAGTTCTGATAAATGCCTGCCTTACACAGGAGTAGTAATGGTGACTTGGCTTATAACACCTGAACTGACCTCACCCACCAGTTCTGATAACTTACTTCCTTACGCCGATTGGAGTTTGTTACACATTGATACATATTCGCCTCCAACAACATCATCTTCTCTGTGATATTTCGACTTTTAATAGACATTGAATTTCAATTACAAACCCACAGCCACAGCAAAGGGCAAATCCGTTTTCTCAAATCGCTTACTTGAGACTTCATGGCAGCAGCTAAAATGGTTAAAAGAGACATTGTGACCAAATGGCAACTGTATATCTTATTTTCAGTTTCAGATTATCAGCATACACAGTAGGTGGGCTTAAGAAGTACTTGCATTTGCATGTCTAAATCGCAAGTTCTAAAGTTGGGAATTTATGTCAAAATAGCTAGTAACTAAGTAAGGATAAGATTTATGGATAAACAACTATCATATTCAGTGCAGGTTCTGACACCGTTATCAGGCAAGTGTAGTGTTAGAACCTCCACCAAAACGTCGCTCTTAATTGTAATAAAGAAGTTGTTCATCCATAAATCGTATCCTAACTTAATACTCCAACTTCTAAATGCCTTCAAAGAAGTTTGCTAGTAACCATTCATTGAAAGGAGTAGAAAGGGCATCTTTAAGGATCCCAAAGGCATATATTTTCAAAACATCCAGTGAACAATAAGTTGGTTTGGAGAATGCCCCTGTAGCCCAGAAGTTAATACGGCCAATCCCTAACTAATATAAATCCAAAAGATGAAATAATGGCAATAGGAACAATCTATGTAAGAAGAGGGTGCAGTTTGACTGCGAGATGACGTCACACAAGCCAATCTCAGCAAGATGCTCACTGGTGGAAATTTTCACTGTTCAACACTGAGAGCTAAAACTCGTAACAACACATATTCGACTACGAAATATACAGTCTGCTTGTTGGATTTTATTTGTTGTTAAACTCTGTATTCAGCAATATTCCAACTACATGACGGTGGCCTTTAAAACATCGAATCTGGACCAGACAACCCAGTATTTTATGTTATGACCAACGTTACACATCCTGGGGTGCAGCTACCATCCAAGTCATCGTTCCTGGCCCGGCGATTTATTCAGTCACAACTTGTGACAAGCTGTTCCTGGGGACCTATGCTGAGCTTGGCTTCCTTCATTTCATATCCTCAATTATGCTTTGACTTGCGTCTTCCAATCTCGTACTTCTGGAAAGATCCATGTTATAGATCAGGACAGGACATGCTTGACTATACATTTTTAATGACTGACGTAACTGAGGAGTAATTAGAAAAGAATGTTATATTATTCATATACATTTACTTGCGTGTGAAATTAACGTTGAAAGCTATCCTAGACTGAGCCTCTGTTACCACAACACAACAAGCCGTCAAGTGAAGATGTTGGTCCTCCGTGTTCTCGTTTGTGTAGCCCTCTACACCAGTGTTACAAGACTACACGGCCTATTTGTACACAGTGAGTACTTTAAGGGTTTTAGAACAAATACACAGTCAACTTTGTCATGGCCTTTTTGCCCCGTATGCCGTCGGTACACTCGGTATATTCTGTACCTGCACATTTCTGCGGGCAGCGATGGAGTAGTGATATTGCCTGAATTCACTGCAGACGCCTCCTAATGACCCCTCTGTATATAGTTCGTACAACATGATAGATGACGTGAAAAATACACTTTAAGTAAGGTTAACAGACATTGGGTTTATATTTACATGTGTGTCACGACGAGTGAGCGTAATGTGATTGTTGTTGTAACTTTGTGACTTGAATCAATCAAAGAAATGGTGGTATGACGCCATATGTTTTTCTCCGAATGCTGGGTCGAGATGACCCTTGACATCAGGTTGAGCAGATTGTGCTGGCGGCCGTAAACATCTCATCATCAGACGTAGCTTGTCTAAGCAAACTGCAACTTTATGTCCTTTCTCCACCATTGATAGCATTTGAGTGTGTTCAACGAGTCTGAATCCAGTTGATGGCCATGGACTTATATTCTCTCAAATTCGATACATAAAGTTGCACGTGAATGTCGATGTGTTTCATTGTTACAGACATTTAAGAATTGACCTTCACTTTGTGTGAGTTCATTGGAGTATGAACCTTCATAGAGTAAGGGCCAAACTGTATGAACGTCGGAGCTTTATGATAATTTGTTGATCACAATTTCTTAACTCAAAGGATGTTAGCCAAGATCTTAACACAATTGTATTTAGTACGTGTGACTTCATGTTTACACTGACAGCCATACAAGAACCAGCTATATCGCGGTGTAAAATAGTTCCTCAAAAAGAGAGGTGACATGGGCGTTTGGATGCACAACTTGCTCTTCAGAAACATCTTAAGCAGCACATGTGTTCAAATCATATCCTCATTAGATGAGAAAGGTCTGTAAAGAACTACCTCAGTAAGTCAGTCACAATGACAGCGCGTCGTAATACATTTACATCAAGTACAAGACGTCCAAATAACCGACACGATAAACGTGACGGGAGAGATTTCCGAAGTTGTTAATGAATCTGTGGCGGTTACATGTGTGAGTCATCATTGATCAGCTGGCCGATCATTGAAAGGTGAATAAAGATGCGTCAAACATGCGACACTAAGGTAAATTCATAGATTGCTAGAGACGGTCAATGTCAGCCTAGGCACGGATCGAGTCGATACTACGATAGTTTAGATGTGCATTTCATCGTTTGTTCATAAGGATGGGCCGCATCGAGGATATTCGTGAACAATCATGCAGTCATGCTCTCCGACATTTCTCAATGTATACTGAAACGCTGAGACCAAGAATAAAGGTTCTAAATGATCAGAAAGAACGCTTATGTATGTTTTCGTGCTAGGAAATTCCAAAGGGTTTCCCCAGGAATGTGGAAGAAATCCGTCACTGTTTACGTCATTTCAAGAACACGGTCTCGTGAAAAACGTATGAACGTCAAATTGTGTCGTTCATGCACTTATGAACGTCAATTTCGCGGTCATGTGACCGACCTCTCGTCCAATGGAAAAGTCGTATATCGTGTAAACTTCAAATTAATTAAATATGAAAAGTTAAATATCAAAATGAAACTGTTAGTGAATTAAAATTGGCATATCAGTGCCATTGCCGATGTTGCAAAGCAGTTTACTTTTCACATCCAGCATATAAAGCCCCAATTTACTAATGATGAATGGCATAGATGCTCAAGGTCAAGTGTCATAGTATATATCGTGCATTTTTTTACGTGTCATGCAAACTGCTAAACCGTTTTCTCAATTGACTAAAATATGCTGACACTAAATATGGATGCGTGAAACCATTATGAGGTTTTATTATAATTTTGTCCACTGAAAGTTGATCTCTTGTGAAGTAACTGGAAAAGAATACTACATACATAGTCATACAAATGGTAGTATTACATAGATATAGTTACTTATTGACCATTAACGTGGTGTAGTGGATAGAGCATCTGCCCGGAGAGTGAAAGGTCGTGGGTTCGTTAAAAGGCATTGAAAGAGATTCGGTTTTACTCTGCCTTTCGCTCGGAATTAAGGGCTGGACTGCTCGGAGTTATTCATGTTAAACTGCGGCATGATAAAAATGGCATTAGTCCGGCCTAGTACAAGCACACACACACACACACACACACACACACACACACACACACACACACACACACACACACACACACACACACAGACAAACACACACGCATGCATGCACACATGCATGCACGCACGCACGCACACTCACATGTTGCTATAAAAATGCAATGATTTCATTTCCCTTAGTTACTTATTTCATCCATTTTGTATCCCTTGTGATGAGAGAATCACAGTCAAGCATGTCCTGCTTGACTGTATTGATTTTGCCATCACAAGGGATAAATATTGCAAATCATCATCTCTCAAGGATCTTTTTTATAATATTAATTCTCATTTAGTTATTGGGTTTTTAAAAGAGATAGAATTGTTCCATAAATTTTGATAATATGTATTGTATAAAATGAAGGACTTTTTAAAATTGGTAGAATGAAATTATATTAGTTTGTTACTGGCCGTATCCTCAAAGGGGGTAGACGTAGTGTAAAATTATTGTTCCCCTGAGAGGCTATCGTAAGTCCATGTCATTCAAAGAATTTTTCTGCCTACTACTCTTTTAAACGTAGATTTTTTGTATTTTTACTTGTGGCTAACTTTGCATACAATCGCCAGTTGCTGAAGGGATGATGTAAATCCTGCTGGGATACATGCAGGTATGAAATGTACTGTAAGTCCCCATGGTCCCAAGTATGGCGGTCTACCTTCAGTTGCTGGCGATCTATAGCCCGTTTTTATAATGTAATGTTATGTACAGTGTTATTGATTTTATGATTACATACTAATTTTACATTTACTTCTGTGATAAGTCTAGTTATTTGACTGTCCCTCGTTGGCAGGTGTTTTATATAAGTTTCATTATATGTATTATATATATAACTATTGATAGTCACGATATGGCTGAAATATTGCCGATGTGACTTACAATTTTAACTCACTCACTCACTCACTCACTCACTTATTTCATATTTGTCAGTCTTTTTTTAAAATGCTATTCAACATCGTATGCTTGTCATGAGAGGCGATTTACTGGATCGGTGGCTCAAGCTTGGCGATCTTTTTTATTTGCGACTTATTGAGGGCGTGGATCATTGCTCATAATATCAATCACTGGAGTGTCTGGTCTAGCCTCGTTCATTTGCAGGCTGCTTGACTATTTATTTAGGAGTGTAACATTAACCAAAAACCGAATGAAGAAATCAGTCAACGAGCCCTTTTCATGTTTGTACTTCAAACGGTGATGCACGCTGGATGAATGCTAAACAAAATGTAGCTATCTATACATATATAATTTTGTACAAGTATAAACATGCAGACAGAAAAAGATTTTGTCGGAAAAATGTCAACTTGTCCCTTGACATGTATAAACTATTATCGACTATCCTCATTACTGAGAGACATCCGACCACAACACCAATTGCAACCTCTACTGTTCACCTCAACATTGAAACTATGACGCAGATGGCATTAACATGAAAAATGATGGATAATTACTAGGTAGCAAGTTCGTCCTGTGAGGACAACTGCTTGAACAGCAACGAGTCAAGCATCAATCTGATGACGAAGCTAGAATGTACCAACTTTACTGTGAAACCGTAGGTACCAACGGAATACGAAGGTTGACAGGTTTGGTGGTGGCAGCGATACACTGGTGCAAGTGAAAGGCAACAGGCCGACTCTTACGGTTGTGATGATATCCTACATTCGCATTAAGATCCATACTAATGTCATCTTTTAACAGACAAATTCAAGATAAAAACAACACATGCAACAGCAACATCCCTTTAAAACGAAAAAAATACAGGTCCACCCGTGATCCTCCAAATCGCCATGTTTGTAATATCCGGTGCCGTCACTGCCACGTGTCATTGTGTCATCACTCATCAAATATTCAGATGTGCAGTAAATGCGTGTCAATTCCCATACTAACGTTCTGTGTTTCTTGTGCTGAGTTGAGGAGTATATAATTATCTCGTTCCTTTGTTTACGAAATAGGCAGTTTCCCAGTCAATTAAACGTTGAAGCGTGGTCACATAATCTACTTTGACTGCATGAACAATGCATGCCAACCTGTCAATACATCGGGTGGACAAATATAGCATTTCAAGTAATATTTGCTAGAGTATAACATTCCTGTAACCCTGGTATTTGCCTAATGGAAATCCGATGCTCTTCAAACTGTCCTTATTAACGATCGATGATGGGTGGAAACAACATGTAAAATTAAATCCATTTGAGATTTCAAAAGCTGTTAATGGGCATTGTGGAGAAGTGAAAAATGTAGCTTATCTCTGTTGTGGCTCCATTCTTGTGGAGTGTGTGAAGAAACAGCAATTTATCTCTTTATCTCTTGTCTATCAGTCAGTTTGCTAATGTTGAGGTTGCTGTTTCAGCACATAAGACACTCAACTCCATTTGGGGCATTGTTCGTGACAGATATCGGCCGGTGCTTTCCGACATATCCGAACAAGACTTTTTGGTATAGCTGAAGGAACAAGCAGTGACATCTGTAAAACGTTTTACAAAAAGAAGGGTGTTCATGGAAATGACAAAACGATCTATCTCTTAAGTTTGTGACCTATGACAATTCCTCGTCGTAGTTAAGCTGGAAATGTTAACATCAGAGTGTAGGTGTATGTCCCCAATCCACTGTGATGTTATAGTTGTCAACAGTTTATTCATTGTTCCCGTGGTGATACAAAACAGGAACTTTATATTTACTGCTGAAGCCAAGGCTATTCAAACAGCCTTGGAATATATTCAGAAACAAAATGCATGTAAAACCATTTCCTGTGAAGTTATCTCGCAATTAAATATCTCCTTACCATTGCTTCCCAATACAGCATTAATATCTGAGGATGATAGTGTGTTTGTTCAGTAGATGACCAGTCTTAAATAGGTTCTCCCTTCTTGGGCCACCATACGTTACAAGTCAGGTTTACCAAAAAGTCTATACACTGTCTTTTATTTGTTTATTTGAGTGTGTCACTGTGTAGACCTTCCAATGTTGGTCATTTACTGTAGTCGGCCTTTTAACTGTGTGCTGCCTGTGATGGTTGCCTGTCTCCAGCCACCGACTGTCTGCTGTCTCTGCTTACCACCCCTACACGTAAGAGGTAGCAGGTCTCTGACCTTTTGACCTGGGCGCTCCGAGTTCGCCTCGTGGAGGACGTAAACGTGATTATGAGTGGGCTAAAGTCCCGTACTATCTATCTCGGTCCTGGACATTGACCACACATTCGTCTGGCCATGTTGTGACCACATGGTTATACCTCCTTGCTGTTGGGTCAACATCTCTGCTTGAGCCAACAATGTAATTAACCTGTTTACTTAGTCCAGCATGTGTGACTGTGTAGACTGACCCTCAGCTAGACGAGTTATGTAACCGATTCAAGTTCAGCTCACCATACATGCCAAACCAAGCTGAGCTTGCCAAGAATACGTTTAAGCTGTCTATATTCTCTTAGAGAATTTTGCAGAAATGTATTGAACTCTTTGAGTTTGTCACTGAGTTGGGAAACTATACAGACAGTTGCATTGGAGTCAAACAAAAATCTTCACTTCTATAATAGATGTTACAGACTTAATACAAGTATACTTGTAGATACACCCATTGGGAGTCTGATGGGAAGCAGCGTAAGGTCCAGGTCACTCAGAGTGAATTATCCTGTGTACACGATTCCTTGGATATTATTTTCATGAACTTGATGATAATTTGTACACTGATATCCAGTGAGGGTTCTTGATCAATATTTGGAGGACCTCTCTTGACTCTGAACATGACTCGCATTTCGTGACATTTCCGATTCATTTGAAGAGTTATGGAAAACTCAACTATCCAAATACATGTCATATGTCAAATACACCACTGAGGTGTGCAACTAAAACATTCTAGGATATGATTAGCTGACCTTGAGGGTCAAGATTGGCCTGATATCCATGCTGCTTTCTGGATCGCTCTTCTTCATGCTGCCGTCGGATGGCAGGACTACTGCCGGGCGGGGCCAGGCAATAAATACTTACTTTTTATGCCTACTGTATGAATGGCGGGTGCTACGGGTAGGACAGGACATGCTTACCCTTTTCGCCAACACCTGGCGTCAGTGGTTCTCAGTAGTCCATTCATATAATCTTCGTGGCTATATTACCCTTTGCGTCAAAAAGAAATCTCTTTCAGAGGATAATCAAAACAGAGTAGTACCTCTTCGATCTATGATGCTAGTCGGGCTTTAAATAAATCATATGTGTCATCTGGATCATTAACAAAATTTGCCAGCCCGTCCTGGTGGGAGGTCGACCTGAGGGGCTACTTCACCATCAGCAGCATCACCCTCACAGCAGCCACCTACGGGAGATGGAGTAAGTTCATACAGAACACGTCACTTTTGTTTCATTGAGTGATAATGTAGAAACATATATAAAATAGGTTGCACACCATATATCCCACGAATTATTTTATATCAGTTTCAGCGCAATTCAATAACCAAAATAAATTGTGTAGGATGTCACTAGTGATATTTTTCAAGATTTACACACTCTCGGTTATCTGAACACTTTCCATACAGTGTTGTTAAATGGGAATAGTGCATCACAACACTAGTTTTGCATCAGCAGATCAGCAACAGGGGATCTTATGTTTGACACGTGCACTGGGATATTCCTTTGTTTGCAGATGTTTACATGAGAAATGCCTTCGTGGAGGTGATGGACAAAGATGTCAGTCTCTGCTCTGATGTCCAGTCGGAGTGGTGTGGGAATGTGTCCAGCACTGTCACTGCTGGGGAAGAGTTCACCTTTACCTGCAATGCTACATTCCCTGTCCGCTTTGTCCGTGTCACAAGGCCATCTACCACCAATGTACACCTCGTTATCGGACATGTGGATGTTCAAGGGGAGGGGGCTAAGAAGCCATATCGTGAGTAAACCATTGATTCACCGTTGGCTTCACAAAAGTCAAATCGGTACAAAGTCATAATCCCCTATATGTTTGAGCACGGTTAGAGTGAGTGAGTTAAAATGTTTTAGCTTTGTATCTGGTTTAAGACAGGCCCAATTCTATAACAACTGGTCGTAAGAGGCGACTTAACTGATCGGGTTGTCAGTCGCGAAGACTTTTCTGATTGCATGTCATCATACCCGATGTCGTGGGACGTTCATCATAACATAAATGACTGATTTGCCTTCCTGACTCTAAAAAGTAACTATATTTTATAGGTTCCTACTACAAACCGTTGAAGAACAAGAAGATGTCTCAGCCGTTCCTAACCACGTCAGCCATGACAGCCGGAGACTGTGGCATCATTTGTCACCGATATAATTCATGCATCGACTTCAGCTACAGTGCAGTGTCGCCGACCAATGAGAACTGCCTGCTTTCTGACAAAGTGTTGTCTTCATCTGAAGATAACTTTTGGACAACTTACACTAGCTTCTGCATGTAAACATTCAACTAAAATATAGCAAGCTTCTCTCACACTTTATGACAACTATGTTTAAAATATAAATATACTCTCGTTGACCCTAAAACAAGCTTCACTTTAAGATTATCATTTTGTAAGTTGTCTAGTATTTCTCCAAAAATTGATATGGTTTCAACCAAATATCATGTTTGCCATGGTGTCATATGGGACTGGGGTCGAATGGTTCTCATAAACGTTTGTGATTAATTGGATTAACTCGGTGACTTGTTAATTTCGTTTCATTCTACAATGACGGTTTTGCAATGCTGATTGATGAGTTGACGCGAAATGACGTCACATTGTACCATTGGGCATTTGAGGTCACCCATTGCATTCAACGTCACCTTATGCAATCAGACCATACGCTAACCCGGATTGAAAGTTAGTCATCAATTTTCGCCTCACCCAATGATGATAATGACTCTTTGCACCAAACATTCAGATCGGTAGGTCGAAATATGACAAAAACGTAAAGTCCACCATATGTATTTCCTCAATGTTAAGTAGGCAGGGAAAAGAGTTGGAATTGTTTAATATTACCTCCCTGTCTGGTATACAGTATGACATACATGTACCCACTTTCACAAACAATTGATTTGATGACTGACTATGCGCTCAAATATATACGCTGAGTACCTCCTGGCATATATTAATAATAAATGTTGTCCGATCGACCAGTTTGTCGCACTTTTACTAGTTGGCGTTTACCAACCAATGAACAAAGTAAAAGTGAGTGAGTGAGTGAGTTGGGTTTAACGCCACTTTTAACACTATTCAAGTTATATCACAGCGTGTCAGCTTAATGTGGGAGGAAAGCCCCAAGCGATGCAGGTCTTAGACGTTTACCACTTACTGACGAAACCAAGAAACATAATCGGGGCGAACCGGGGTTCGAACCCACAATCATAGGTTTCTGGCGTGTCCAAGGGACACAACTCTGCACAGCGAATCACGGCGCCTTAGACGACTGGACCATGCGTGCACCCCACACAAAGTAAGACATTTTTCACCAAGTTAGGTCGTCGGTAACATGAACATTATTTCATTTATTTCATGATGCTGGGATTTTATCAAAATGTTTTATGAAATTGTCGACGAAAATTCTTGAAAAACAATAACTATGCCTTAGACTGTTGGAAAAAATGTAATTGATGCGAGATGTTTCACATAAAAGCTGAAAAACAATGTCTGATCTTGACACGAAAGACAAGGCACCCTTCCTCCCCATCCCCCCCCCCCCCCCCCCCCCCCCCCCCTTCCTCCCAATAAATAAAATGTTCGATCACTTATAGTGTAGAATAATAATTATATTCTATATATTGAAACACTTTGAGCACTAAAATGAATGTATTTTTTTATTTTGTCCATATGAGTAGTTGAGCAGTTATCACATTAAAAGTACTGTTTTTTACCGTTATCGCTTTGTATTCAAAAGCAACGGATAGGCGAGAGGCTATTGGAAGTAATAGGAATATTGATATTTGTTGGGTTCGATGTCTAAAGTTGTGAAATGGCTGAAATCTACTAAAGGTGCAAGAAACGTTCATGTTAAGTTTGCTGAAATACATATTACCTAATGTATGGCAACACGCATTTACTACTGACACATTAAAGCAACTTTTCTCCTGATCTGACAATGCACCAAGGATACTAAACACTGTGATTTTCAATATCGATTTTTCCATCAAACTAGATATACCAAGAGAGAATCACTTGCAATGAAGCGGAATTTTAAACAAGTGAATCATATCATGGCTTGTTAAATATATTTTCACTATCTGTATCAAAGGGATATTCCTAATTTCTATCCTTCATACAAAAATTCTAAAAACTACAGAAATGTTTTTTGGTAGGAAGAATGACCAACATTGTGTTTTTGCAAGAAGTGGACAACTTTGAATGTTGAATTTGAACAAGAACGTGAATGTTAATGATATATTCCATTGTATCTCACATGGAATCATAATGACACACTCTATGAGTCTCTGTATATGTTTTGTATATGATTTGTATCTACACCTGCTGATGTGAATAAACTGTTTTTCTATAACACTATGAAAGCATTTTATTTGCTGTTTCTTATGACAAAATGCCATGGGTTAACCTGGACCAAATTATTCTGGTCCTGTTGACAACGATACTGCCTAACTGTCAGGCTGTTCGAGCTGTAATGGCCAGCTGCAACAGTGTTAACCATTATGTACTGGTGTGAGGCTATTCACAACATAAATGTCAGGTTGACAACTATAATGCGCTGAAGGCAGGTTGTTATGAACCATACATTCCGGCTGCCAGTCTGATAACAACAATACTGTCCCGTTGTCAGGCAGTAGACAACCAATATGTCCCGCTGTCAAGACTTCAATGTTCAGCTGTTGGGCTAAAGCGCATAGTGGCAGCGCGTGTGAGACACACATTTCGTACTCAAACACAAATGCAGAGAGAGGAAAAAAATAGGAATGGAACAGTGGAGTGAAGGAAACATTATTCATTGTGATATTCATGGATATGGAATTGACACTGACACTGATACACAATAACAAGCTTGATCGGAACTGTTGCAAGAATCTCGTCTTGGTTGAAAAATTGATATATGAAGATAATGTGAATTGCAAATAACTCTTCGCGGTAAGTAAACAAAACACTTGTAGGCCTAATACATCGGAGTTGTTTGCATATTCAGGACTGTGACAAAGAGCTTGCGAAACGGGCAACACAATATTGGAATTTTAAGGACTTTCTTGTCCTGCAATGTTATTGAAAAATCTCGATATGGATCATGTGCCTCGGATTCACTGGTCTAGTGAGCGTTTGAGTTATTTTTTAAAGTGACGGCGGGAAGTATTAGGTCATAATTCCTAACTGGGGATCATGGGTAATTAAAGCAAGATTTATGTCACCGGTTGTCTGTACTTTATGCTTGCCAAGCACAAAACAAATTCTTAAACACAAGTTGGTATCACATACGATGGTCAAGGATGGACGTATGTGCCACTGGCAAGGAGATTATACTTTGAAACTACTCGTATACTACTACACGTTGCATCATCATAGATCATCCGGGTTGGGGAGAGAGTCATGCTATACACGTATGAAATTATTCAAAATGTATCTAATAATGCTATATCTCTCGACATTAGTAAGATGATCCTTCAAAGAATTTGAATGAGCATTGCTCAATGTTCTACATATGCTTGACTGCTTCTCTGAACACAAGACACACAATGGAGGATCCTCTCCTTTCAATAAATAAAGATGTGTGTACGTAGTATGATAAATACGTCGTAAAATGACCTCTACAAATGTTGACTGAAACCCTAGTAGGAACAACACAGAGTTGATTTAATGTGATGAAGTTTATTACTACCCACCTTTTTCGCTTAAGACCTTTGATGAAGCATCTTATTACAGGATTGATGTCACTTGGGACAAGAAGTGGCGTCACCTACTTGTTGAGTACTGCTTTTGTTGAAGCATTATCATCCATCGGGTTACAAATGATTCCAACATGACTGGTTAGGAAACAAAAGATGATGTCATGTTGGCTAGTTACAAGTACATTTGCTTCTGCTATGAAAATGGAGTTGTTATTCCGTAATCTTAATCATTTTGGATCTACTAACACTGGCCCTATCAACGACGTCAACACCCGTGGATTCCTCTGTAAATACAAATATGTATATGTAGGTATCACATAGATACATCTGTTATGCCTTAAGGGAAGTATAAAATAAGCTGATGAGTATCTCCTTTTTCTTCAAAAGCACATTATCTGAAGTTTGTTACACATTGATACACATTCGCCTCCAACAACATCATTTTTTGGTGTGATATTTCGACTTTTGATAGACATTGAATTTCAATTACAAACCCACAGCCACAACAAAGGGCAAAATCGCTTACTTAAGACTTCATGGCAGCAGCTTAAATGGTTAAAAGAGACATTGTGACCAAATGACAACTGTTTATTTTGTTTTCAGTTTCAGATTATCAGCATACACAGTAGGTGGGCTTAAGAAGTACTTGCATTTGCATGTCTAAATCGCAAGATCTAAAGTTGGGAATTTATGTCAAAATAGCTAGTAACTAAGTAAAGATAAGATTTATGGATAAACAACTATCATATTCAGTGCAGGTTCTGACACCGTTATCAGGCAAGTGTAGTCTTAGAACCTCCACCAAAACGTCGCTCTTAATTGTAATTAAGAAGTTGTTCATCCATAAATCGTATCCTAACTTAATACTCCAACTTCTAAATGCCTATCAAAGAAGTTAGCTGGTAAATATTCATTGAAAGGAGTAGCAAGGACATTTTTAAGGATCCCAAAGGCATATATTTTCAAAACATCCAGTGAAAAAAAAGTTTGTTTGCAGAACGCCCCTGTAGCCCAGAAGTTAATACGGCCAATCCCTAACTAAAATAAATCCATAAGATGAAATAATGGCAATAGGAACAATCTGTGTAAGAAGAGGGTGCAGTGTGACCACGCGAGATGACGTCACACAAGCCAATCTCAGCAAGATGCTCACTGGTGGAAATTATCACCTATCAACACTGAGAGCTACATTTCGTAACAACACATATTCAACCGCGAAATATACAGTCTGCATGTTGGGTTGTATTTGTTGTTAAACTCTGTATTCAGCAATATTCCAACTACATGACGGTGGCCTTTAAAACATCGAACCTGGACCAGACAACCCAGTATTTTATGTTATGACCAACGTCACACATCATCGGGTGCAGCTATCATCCAAGTCACCGATCCAGGCCCGGTGATTTATTCAGTCACTACTTGTGACAAACTGTTCCTGGGAACCTATGCTGAGCTTGGCTTCCTTTATTTCATATCCTCAATTATGCTTTGACTGTTGTCTTCCAATCCTGTACTTCTTGAGCAAAATCAATGTTATAGATCAGGACAGGACATGCTTGACTATACATTTTTAATGACTGGCGTAACTGAAGAGTAATTAGAAAAGAATGTTATATTATTCACATACATATTTACTAGCGTGTGAAATTAACGTTAAGAGTTATCCTAGACTGAGCCTCTGTTACCACAACACAACAAGCCATCAAGTGAAGATGTTGGTCCTCCGTGTTCTCGTTTGTGTAGCCCTCTACACCAGTGTTACAAGACTACACGCTCTATTTGTACACAGTGAGTACTTTAAGGGTTTTAGAACAAATACACAGTCAACTTTGTCATGGCCTTTTTGCCCCGTATGCCATCGGTACACTCGGTATATTCTGTACCTGCACATTTCTGCAGGCAGGGATGGAGTAGTGATATTGCCTGAATTCACGGCAACACACCTCCCAATGACCCCTCTGTATATAGTTCGTACAACATGACAGATGACTTTAAAAAACATTTTAAGTAAGGTTAACAGACATTGGGTTTACAAGTATATATATGTTACGACGAGTGAGCATAATGTGATTGTTGTTGTAAATTTGTGACTTGAATCAATCAAAGAAATGGTGGTATGACGCCATATGGATTTCTCCGAATGCTGGGTCGAAGATGACCCTTGACATCAGGTTGAGCAGATTGTGCTGGCGGCCGTAAACATCTCATCATCAGACATAGCTTGTCTAAGCAAACTGCAACTTTATGTCCTTTCTCCAACATTGATAGCATTTGAGTTTGTTCAACGAGTCTGAATCCAGTTGATGGCCATGGACTTATATTCTCTCAAATTCGATATATAAAGTTGCGTGTGAAAGTCGATGTGTTTTTGTGTCTTTCATTGTTACAGACATAAAAAATTAAAAATTAAAATTAAACTATTAGTGAATTAGAATGGCAACTTCGGTGCCATTGCCGATGT